AAATGGAGGGGTACCCAATTTCTTGTGTAGGCCCACATTATGTTTTGTCCTTCAAATGGGACGCTGGACCCATTTTCCAGCAGGTGCGGCTCCCCACCAATAGAATGGAGCATCCGGAACGCGCACTAGGGGAGGTTGCTCATATCACTCCCCCTAGTGACATTGTCCTGGCTTAAAAAAAAAAAAAAAAAAACCAACGTTTTGTCCTGGAAAATGCCCCGATTGGGTAGCCCAGTAATTTTGTTTCACTCAGCAAAATTATGTGCCCTCTTCTTGTGTGGTCGTGTTATGTTCCTGCAATGTAAGGGCCTTGGCTCCTGAAATGCCGCAGGGTATGGAAAGCTCCCTAGTACCCCCTCCTGGAGGGCGCGCTGGTTTTCCATCCTGTGTACACTTCAGGAGGGGTCTCGTTTCATGTTCAATTATGTCCGTCTCCAGATGCTTTTCCTATTTTCTATAGTGCTTGAAGCGGACAAATAGTTAGTGAGGAATGATAGCGATTGCAAAAATTGTCGAGTATTCGAGTATTCGTTAGGCTTCTTGTTTGTCTCTCTGATGAAAGTGAGCAGCACATCATCAACAAACCGTATCAGCGCCCAGGGATCTCAACCAGTATTGCTCATCACAAGCGTAGAGCACGTTAACCTTGCTAATTGTGGGCTTTGAGCCCTCACCAATTGTGATTCCTTTTGACCGCCTGAGATTCTTTTCCCCGGATTACAAAAAAGGAGGCACGACTGATGTCGAACTTCAATAGTGGAGGTAGTAGTCTGATTTTGATAGTCCTCACAATAATATGAAAAACGGAACTCCAAATTTCAATACAACAGAGAACAGGACACTAGGCCTGGTTCCTGCTACGTGTTCGGTCCCACAAATAGATTGGAGCAAAGTTTTCTGGGAAAAAAATCACAGAAAAAAGCCAAAATTTAATTGATGGAAAAGGACTTTAAACCATACATGCGGCGCATCGCGCACTGCGCACGTGCGCCGCACGGCGCATCCCGCACGACGCGCGCGCACTGCTTGCGGCGCACCTCCAAAAATGGGGGTCAAAAAAAAAAAAAAAAAACTTGTGAGGGGCGGTAGTAGACCCGGCCCCCTGCTCGCGTAAAATAAGAAACGGGCAGCCAGATTTTTTTTGGAGGCCGCGCGTTGGCCC